TGTGTGAAAAGCTCAGTGCATAATGAATTCGTAAAAGAAAACGAAAGCATTTATTTACCGCTCCTCACCCGCTGATAACTCTCCTGCGCAGTGCCTAGCACTGTAGAATAAAAGCCACTAACCCTGCTTCTTTAGATCAAGACTGGGACAAGAGTGGCCTTGGCGTCACTTAGATGAGGAAACGTTTAAAGAGTTCGCGGCTTCTATTGAAGGAATATTTCGAGAAAATTAAATGACCCTCGTTTCAGCCATGTAGGAAATGTCTTTTATTTTTGCTTCAAACTTTTGGAATGAAACGTGCACAGGAAAAAAATGTGTGTTCGATTTTCAGAAAGTAGACCATCTTCTGCGAAAAACTGCCTATTGACCCTCCTTCAAAGGATATCTTTTGAAGTGATCGAACTCTTTCGCAGAATTACCTGTTCTTTCATGCGTCAAAGAGGCTATGCAAGTGTTGAGCTTCACCTGAAGCCCCACGCTTCACTTAGAGAGGGCAACACCGAGAACAAAAAAGCTTGCAGTTTCATTCCAGGAAAATCTTCGCCCGAGTGGGGCATGTTCATCCATTGTTTGGGCGAGCCCATAACGTAGAAAAACGACTGTTGACCCCGGCGCTCGTTTACGGCTGTTTCGGCCTGACTTACTGAGCTACTGTTTTTATTACCAATAGAGTAAAAAAGTTAAGCAGTTCAGAAATAGTAAGACCAATTCATAACAATATATAAACTGCGGGTAGTCCAGAGGAGGATCAGTTATTGGCCGCACAACATTAATCTGTCCTTTTTTACAGTGGCGCTGTTTTGTGCTAAGATCACAGAATACTCATGTAGAGGAAAATTTTGAGTGTCGAGACATTCAACAGCACCACCATGTTGTAACTAAGCGCACTACTATGTGCATTAAAACGCTTTGCATCGTGCTCTTGCTGCTGGTGTATACACTAGTGTGCGAGCTGCCTAGCTTCTGCCGCGCGTTGCGTAAACATATGTACGTCTATGTTATTGCAGTCCCATTCGTGTGGTAACACTTTCGTACTTTCCAACCGTTAACAAGGTTGAACGCAGTCATTCAATATCTTTAATATTTTAGTGTATTGTAAGCTAACAGCACAACGGCGAGCTTTCGTCCCAACACTTCTGTTTAATGTTTGTATACATTAGCAGCGTCTTATCAATCGTTTTGATTTCACACTATTTTAGTCTATTCGTTTGCGAGTTTTCGGCAATTGTCTTATGATGAGCCATTTCACTTACCCTCAAGACATGATCTACAACAGCTGCCACGAATGCATTTCCGCGGTTTATTATCACAATGGCTACCGCACCATGTCTCTTGCACATTGTCTTTCAAAATCATACCACCACCACCAAGTTCTTTTTATAGTCTATGTTATCAGATATAAGGTCGGAACATTCATGGCAACAATTATTCAATGATTTCCTACAGCAGACGATGAAAGCAAGCCCGAAATACCCATTTTGATCTGGTCTAATGTTGCTCGTAGAACCCGAATAGGCTGCAGAAGGCCAGCTGGTCTTGTGGGAAGTGACTTGCGCAGCTTTCATTCGAGGCAAGTGTGAACGTGGTGCTTCAAAAATGTGGGCAAGTCTTGGTAAGTAGTATCCTTGCTAAATTCTTGCCAATGCGTGGGCGCAGCCTTAAACATCCAGAAGTCATCTGTTTTTCACATGTTTGAAGTGCTTCATAGCGAGGGCTTTTTGAGGATTGACTTTAAAGTAACGGGATCCGATCGAAGAAATATTGCCTTTGTAAATGACGCTATTCTGTTACCAAAACGATGACGATATTCTTGCGAAAAAACTAGACGCACTCTGAGATTGTCCATCTGAGTACTTTATTAGGTCAAGCAACTCGGATTGGTCACATTGTTGTTGGGCACTGGTAGACATGTCGAGGACAAGAAATGTAGTCGTTCTCATTAGGTAAGTATGCCGGCCGTATTGGTGATTGGGTCAGGCAGTAGGCGTTCATAAGTCACTTCCCACACTTGGAAATAACCGTGATTCCAAACTTCAATAGTCGATGTAACAGATTAATATATAGATCTCTCGTACTTTATATCATACGGCCTGGAAGGTTTATCGCTATGGGCCTTGGTGAAGTGTTGTGTGCGATGACCGTGGAATGCCGGTGTAACTATTTCGCTTTTTAAAGTCGAAGCCAAGGATGTGTACTGATTTTTGCTTAGGTGATCCGTCCAGCACCGATAAACATTCTAGAACTTCTGTGACTTTGCGAAAGTAAGCGATGGCCGTGCTCTTCGGAGGGTGCCAGTGCACCCTCCGAAGAATGAAGCTATTGAACTATTGAGCTATTGAGCTATTGAATTAACACCGGTTGAAGAATGAAGCTATTGATACCTCGTGCAACTAAGATGATATGGTTAACAAGCGATGAGCAGGTTTGGTCTGCAACGCCATGGTCATAACACGGTGTCCCGCCTTTTACCGAAAAAAATAACAGTGTCTGACTACGGCAGTACCGACATATCAAGATAAGATATATAAGATATTGTCTCCCCTTTGAACAAAAACCTAAAGCAGGCCTATTGCAAAGCATGATCAAACTATCGGGGATGCTTGTAAAGGCGCAATATTATCTCAAGAAATCCAACACAATGATGAGGTCTTGTAGCATGAAATGAGAATGATAATGTCACCCTCAAAGAAGAGCCACCTGTGTCAATTCTCGCTGTACACCTTCTAATAGGCAATACTAGCTAGCCAGGTCCTCATGTAAGGCACTGTTCACGGCGTCTTAACTACTTGAAGCGTATGGTGAGATATTTATATATGATAAAGCTCACACTAGTATAAACTAACGCTTCAGTTGATGCGCGTCCACAAGAACGGTCAGGTCTTTTTGTTGTAACGTCGTGTAAGCTCTACACCGTCGTGTGGTGCTAGTAAGGGGGACTTTTGTCGTAGATTTGACGACCAACTACCTCAACCTTGGAGGTCGCCGCCTTTAGTTTCCCAGACAAGGGCGGGCTGACCTCCATCTTCTGAGGTCAGTATTTGTGTAGTGGTGGGAAGGCAAGTGTGCTGGAAAAGACAACTTGGTCGATGTCGAATACCCCACTGATAATCCAGCATGCTCTCGTCATCATTGTTACAGCGGTTATTAAAATGGGGCTGTAAAAGCAATACCCATGAGAACCAACGTCGACATCGCATGGTGCGTGGTAGGTTTGTCGTCGACTGTCAGATCATGGCAGCGGTGGTGGAAACAAATCAACGTGGTACTAGCGATGCCAGCAAATCCGGCTGACAGCTCCGCAGTTAAAAGCAAGTGGGCCCCTGTTTACAGTGTGCCAGACGTTCATTGGGCGACCATTGGATGTCCCAATGACTCCACCAGTGATGAAGACCATGGTATGCCTGCAGAATAGATGTCGTATGTGGTCGAAATGACAGGGTGCCTCAATTCTTTCACTTGAGTTGGGGACCGACGCATACGTTTCGACAATAGCCAGCGGGATGGCATTAGGGGTGGGGGACTTGGATGGCCAGTGACGTAACTAAAGGAACGCCTCCCGTGTCCTGCGTCATCTGTCGAAAGCTCTTGGTGGATTTCGCCGCGTACGACTTCAGTGGTAGACGCCATTTGTGTTTCTATTGCTGCATTTCCTTGTAAACAGTGCCTTTTATCAATTTACGCTAGTATCTATGACTGTCATGCCTTATGGCGATGAATTTAGGAGCTGCTGAAGCAGCGATCCTATTGCCTTCATTGTAGGCGATGTATCCACTCGATAGCCACAGCTTTCATGAATAAGTCTGCCATAGTGAGTGGCGACTTGCGCAGGATTAAGGCGAACAACTGCACTTTACGCGGTACATGAGGTAGCATAGCTTTATATATAAGCTATATATATCGTTACATATATATATATATATATATATATATATATATATATATATATATATATATATATATATGTGTGTGTGTGTGTGTGTGTGTGTGTGTGTGTGTGTGTGTGTGTGTGTGTGTGTGTGTGTGTGTGTGTGTGTGTGTGTGTGTGTTGGGCGTTCTGTTCCACTTTTTAGCACTAGTCTGTACAATAGCATCTGACCGCCTATCAGCTCTCAGCGTCACTTGACTCGTAGCTCGCCTGGCCTTCTTTTATCAACTGTTTGGATGTCCATTTATTTAAAAAAAGTGCGGTTTTCGATCTCTGATTTTGTGAGCTTAGGCCAGCTTAGTGTCCTGGACGACCCTCCTTCTTCCGCGTTTTTTCTCTTCTAACTTCTTGTCTCGCTCAATTTTGACATTGTCGACGTCAAAGAATGTCAAAGTTTTGCTGATTTTGAGTAGTCACACTCCTACTTAGACGTTTTCTGTCATCTGACGAGTCACGTGCACCTGTTTTCTGAACTAATCAGCTACTTCTATGTGATTGTCACGCTGCCCGCTACCGTGGTCTTGTGGCTAAGGTACTCGGCTGCTGACCCGCAGGTCACCGGTCGAACCCCGGGTGTGGCGGCTGCGTTTTCAATGGAGTCGAAAATGTTGTAGGCCCGTGTGCTGAGATTTCGGCGAACGTGAAAGAAACCCAGGTGGTCATCATGTCCGGAGCCCTTTACTACGGTGTCTCTCATAATCATATGAAGGTTTTGGGACGTTAAACTCCGCACATCTATCAATAATTTGTGATTGTTACACTGAGCGTAAAGGTCGCGGACGGTGGGAGTGCGTGCAATTAAAAGCAAAAAGTTTCTAACTGGTCAAGCGCAGCTTTTCAGACTGTATCTAATTTTGTTGGCGTGTCGTGGTACTTGTTACAACTCTGCTAAATAGATATAGAAGTAGACGGTGGCCCTCAGTCGGGAGTGACATATACGTACCAGTAATTACATTTACGGTTAGCCTAAGTGCATTGAACGGAAAGGTAAAGAGCAAATTATCTTTAGTTTTAGAAAGCAGTGAAACGCAACAAATTTCATAAGCGAAAGTATTGATGTGTTTGCATCACTCACCACAAAGCGCCAGCTTTAATTGCTAAAGCCCGACGACTCTCAGCACCACGCTCATACAAAACGATAAGTCCACTGAAAATGTGGCAGGGCCCCTTTAATTGTGCACCCCAGATAATATCTGTCTTGTGTACCGTGAACAATAAGGAAACGTAGCTAGCTCTATAATCGACTTACCTTTCGGGATATTCCTAGCCGATTCGTGCACCTTTTGATAATTGAAGAAAAGTTCACATTCCTTACAGAAGCATCATAAAACTCTGAGGTCAGCAACCAACTATTTTTTAAAAAGCACATATGAACATTACTTTTTAAAGGGCAGCTCTACCGTCACTGAGACGTACATTTTATCAGCATTTTTTCACGGACCCTAGATATCATGCGTGCTAAGGCCACAAAATAGCCATCCATATAGCGAGTACTCTTTACAGGGCATTACCATTCATTCTAGTTATTTAATGTATTCGCTTTAAACATTAAAGCATATAGAGTAATATATAAAAAGTTAAGAGAGCACGCTCCCATAGGCACCTGTGACTGATTTGGATTCGCAGCGCTCGAAATGGCCATTGGGAACCTTCACAGTCTTAGATATGGGAAACCGTAAGAAAGAGATGTCTCGAAGGCTATTTTCTAGCAATTCAGAATCTTATACATCCTTCGAGACCACTTCTATGCGCATACTTGTCTCTGAGGCCATTCTTTATTTTTTTAAACATGTCGTTTACATGAATTTATTAGCTTCGTGTAAGCTGCACCGCCAGAGCTGCAAGCACACGATGTCCTGTGAATTTATGAACGCATTTTAAATAACACATGAGAATCGTTCGAGGAGTGAGAACTTTTATTTTCAAGTGATATTTTTGGTAAGCACTTGCCCACTTTGTTACTGTTTGATCAACATGGGCACGAAGAAATGAGTACATTGCACTACAAGACGAGTAATCACAGCTACTATATTGCCACGTTCCATTTCCCAAGTTTTGTTATCGTCCCAAAACACTACACAATTTTCAGCGCAAACCGCGCCTACAGTTTTCAAGAAGCTTCCGGACTGTAGTAGACCATTTTGATAAGATCACGCTTACTCTGCGAACTGTACAGATGATTCTGGAACCTACGCCACCGCCAATGATAACGCTAGAACATTCGAGGGCAAGAGCATAAATGCCGACGCGCTTCGCCGCTTGTCAGTAGTTGATCGACGGCCGACGCTTCGGTCACTGCTATCTGGTGCAGGGGCAATCGCTTCTCGGCTTGTGGATTTCACGGTCTGACCAGGTCCTGCCGGCTTCGCCACCTCGTGCGAGCGACTGCCACCTCTGGGTCTCGGGCCTTCCAGCCCGGAGCCCCCACCCCTATGCGAGAAGGTGCATGGTTGCCGGTCCACGCTACCTTCCCGGAGCCCGCCTGCAGCCCACCCGACTCCACCTGATCCCGAGCGGCGTCTCCCCAGGCTTAGCCGCAGATTTACCAGAGTGCAGCTCGACTGCACGCTACTAATTTTCTACAAGTCACGCCCCCTTCTGCTGGCGACAGCCCCTCCAGAATGGCGGCCACTACCGACCTACCAGTGCGGGATAACTGCTTCCTCTTCACAGCGCCGGACGGCGACGTATTCCTTGATGATCTTATAGACGCTATTGAATTAGAAGCTGGTGATGATAGTGTTCTTGTTACGCAGCATATGGGCGGGGCCAAGTTTCTCGTCTGTACACGTAACGCCAGCCAGGCAACAAAGTTTATGGTGGCGAAAGGTTTCAAGGTTAATGGAGTAAGCGTACCGGTTGAGGCCGTCGGGCCGCCGGTCACGTACGTCAACGTCTACCGATACCCCGCCTACCTGTCTGACGAGATACTTGGCAACGCCCTAGCACAGTACGGTAAGGTGCGGGGCATCTCGTTTGCTACTGTGGCCACCCGCCAAAATAAGTTGAACGGCGTCAGAGTCGTAAAAATCGAAATGAGTAAGCCGGTGCCTAACTTTGCGAACATTGCGGGGCACCGGGTCATGTTCGAATATAGAGGCATAAGGCGGGTGTGCGCGCGATGTAGTGAGGTGGGCCACATGGCGACCGCATGCTCCGCACCATACTGCAAACGATGCGGAACGTTCGGTCATGAAACTGAGGGCTGTTCAGCCGAATGTAAGCGTTGTGGGGGTCACCACGGAACGAAAGAATGTTTTAGGAGGCGCTCTTATGCGTCAGCCACTCGTGGGTTCCCCTCGGTATCGGACCTCGCGTCGAACTCGGTCCAGGCGAGTGGCTACCCGTCGCAGAAGCCAGGCGAACCCCCCTCTCGCTTACAAGTGCTCGTACCCAGAACCGCGGCCCGCGCCCCCCCAAGGCCTCCCTCCCCCCAAGGCCGCGAAACGGATGCCAGCTTGCTCACAGGAAGCACTGCGGCGGATTCATCCGCCAACGAGGAAAACAAGCCCGAGAAGACTGACGATGCCGCCACCATGTCATCGGAAACGGAATCGAGCTACCTCGAAACCGTCTCGGCCCAATCGTTCCCGTCTATGCCATTCGTCGCCCCGTCAGTCCAAGATGAAGGCCACAACTTCCCGGTGCTTGCCGAAACTTTCAAGCGAAGTGAGCCCCCCCCCCCCCCCCAAACCGCCTCCCAAACACCCGTTAACGTGTTGGCCCGAGTGTGCGCCCAGGACTTGGACGACGCTACCAATGACCCCGCCAAGGACGAATTGCCCATCGTGAGCCGCGGGTATTACGAACACCACCTAAATGAACTTATCCAGGTGGTGTTGGTATTACGCGCTCCCTGACGACCAAGACCGTGCTCAAATAAACCAGCCCTTCTCCTTTGAGCCCCCCTCCGGTAAATCGTCGCCCTACACAGACCGCCAACTTGACCCACTCGCGTCCCAGCGGGTGCCAGGCCGCGAGCAGGGAGCTCGTTCGCGCTCGCGCCGACGCCAGGGAGAGGAGAACAAGAAAGAAACGAGAGGGAGAGCCACAAGCAGAGAGGCGCGGCAACGCCGAATTGGGTCAGAAGCTACGGCGAGCGACAGCGATGCCCCACCGAAGGCGAAGACGCAGAAGCTCGGCCAAAGCGACGCAGGCAAAGGGGAACCGCCCCCTAAAGCCAGCGCGCCGATCTGATAACACCTTCGCTTCGTTACAGAGGGCAGTGCCCGTGCGCGCCGGCGCCGCCATTTACCCCTTCCTGTTTCACTCCCCCATGCGCTGCCTCCCCTTGCCCCCACCCCTCCCTTCCACACACTCACGTACCCCCCTCGTTTCCACTCCACCATAGTGCGACTGATGGCGCACCGAGTCCGTTTCGCCACTTGGAATGTTCGCGGTTTCCGCGACACGACGAAACAAACCGCGGTCGTTTCCTTTGCGAAAGCCCGCAGCATCGACTTGTTGTTCGTCCAGGAGACGAATTTCCGATCCCCCCTCGACACGCTCGCTTCCGCAGCCTCTGTCACGTCGAAGCCTTCTTCTCATTGACGAGGACCAGGTCATGCGGGGTTGGGGTTGTGTTCGTCACCGGGAGGTTTAGGCAAAAAGCCCATTGCGTGTTTGGCGCTGACGGCCGCACATTAATGCTTGACATCTTCATCGATGTGCAGAAAGTCCGGTTTGTGAACGTGTACGCGCCAGTAACTAGATCGGAGACAAACCCCTTTTTCAGGGAGCTTGGCGAGTACCTGCTGGCCCCCCTCCCGCACGTAGTTCTTGGAGACTTTAACTGTGTGGTCGACACTGCGAGGGATATCCGGGGACCAAGTTGCGGAGGCTCAGCCTACCGTGCAAAAGAACTGATCAAAGTTCTCGAACGCCTCCGACTTTCAGACGCATGGGTCCGCCTCCACGACGACGACTTCAGCCCCACCCGCGTGTCGAGGGTCACCGCTAGCCGGCTAGACCGCGCGTACTTACCGTAGCTCCTACTTCCATCCCTAACAGCGTGCGAGGTGGTCCCGTTGCCGCCCCCTCAGGCCGCTCTGTCTGATCACGCGCCACTGCTAACAACCCTCCGTGCAAAGCCTGGCCCCAAACCAGCCGACGCATCGTGGCGCCTGGATTCTGCACTACTAAAGGATCCGGTGTCTGCACCACAGATCAAGACGCTCATAGAGGCCTCGATTAGAGCATCCCCCCGCGTAACCCCGACTACCTGGGACGACCTCAAGGAGGCCTGGAAGTTGCTCCTCCAAGACGAAGGCCGTAAAAGAGAAAGCGCTTGACATCCAAGACGAACGAGTTACTGCGCAGAATGCGTATCATTCAGAGTGCTGACACCCTCACCTCCTGTACACGAGATTACCTAGCCTCGCTCAAGGTGCAGTACGAACGGCTTCTTCGGGCAGCTACTGGTGAAAAGCGCACGACTTGGGCCACCTCGAACGAGCGGCAAGAGGTAGTCTCGCGCGAAGTAAGGGGAAACGGCTCTGTGCGTATTGCAGAAGTAAAGCGCCCAGGCGGTACCCTAGCGACAGACCCGGTCGAGATCGAGGCGACCTTCTTGCACGACTTCGAGACAGCCTTTCACGAACCGGACGCCACAATGATCGCCTCGGAGCCAGCGTCCCTGTCGGAGCTGTGTAAATTCCTTAAGCGTCTGGAAGAGGATGAATGCCTGACTATGTGCGGCGCCGCAACGTTACCGAAATTGAGGGCCGCTATCCAGTCAGTGCCACCAAAATCGGCTCCCGGTGCGGACGGCCTCACAGCGGGCTTCTACGCCACCTTTTTCGAGAGCCTATGTGAACCGCTCCTAGCCATAGACAACACGGTCCTCGAGGGACACGCGAAACCTGCCTCCTTCGGCATGGGGCGCGTAGTCCTCATTCTTAAAGAAGGTGCACCGCCGAACGACCCTGCTTCTTGGCACCCGATCACGTTGTTAAATGTAGACTAAAAGATCGTGGCGTCAATCTTGAACAGCCGACTAAAGACCTTTCTGCCAGATATTATTGCTCCACATCAGGCTTGCGCAGTCCCGGGCAGATCAATGTTCACCAACCTGACCACGACAAGGGACGTGTTCCAGTACGCTTCGCAGAAAAGAGTCACTAGAGCCTTTTTTTCACTTGATCAGGCCAAGGCTTTCGATAGGGTCAGGCACACCTACCTGTTCTAAACCCTGCGAGAGTTTGGCCTACCGGCAA